AAGTCAAGGGGACAAAATTTATACATATTGACAAAAATATTAACCCGTAAATTATTCTTTGATAGTTGTTTTGAAAGACCAAATTTTAAGTTGAAATTATCCCCGAAAAGCAGAAAAATTTTCCGAAATATAAATAACTTTGGTTGGTATTCAACCAATATACACATCTCTTTGCAATTTCTTTGCTAGCAGTTTCGTTTCTCGCACTTCTCGCTTGTGGAATTCTCTTCCGGTTACATGCTTTCAAGTCAACTTCATTCGTCAAAAATTTAAATGAAATGCCAAATTGTTCTCTTTTGTCTTCTTGATGTCACTTCTATTGTTTTCGCTGCTTAATAATGTTTGCCTGTTTTTTTTTCTTTTTTCATTCAGTAATCCTTTGTGGCTTTAACAGGTTATCATGGTGTTTTATTGCCAATCTTTTTGCGAATTTTATTATTATATACATACATACATACATACAGAACCTGTACACACACACACACACATATATATATATATATATATATATATATATATATATATGTGTGTGTGTGTATAGTGTGTTAGTGTGTGTGTGTTCATACATACTAAATACGTTTTATGGGTTAAACATATACATATTATGTTATATATATATATATATATATATATATATATATATATATATATATACACGAAAAATAACCCATAAACTGTATTTGTTGTAAAAAATATATATTTTATATATATATATATATATATATATGTGTGTGTGTGTGTGTGTGTGTGTGTGTAAATATATATTTATATATGTGCTTTTATATGTACATGCCTAGAGAAAAGATGCGCAAAAACCCCAACACACATTTTCACACACACACACACACACACACACATATATATATATATATATATATATATATATATATATATAAATATAAAGAAAGAGAGACATCTTCTGTTGCAAGTGTTTTGCCAATCTTTTGAAGAGATTTTATCATCTGACTGAGTTTTATCAGCTAATTTATCTGTCCTTTTGTCTGCTTGTTTTTATTTCTTTAATTCCTCAAAGTAATCGGTAAGTGGCAAGAAAATAAGGCGTACATAAGCGAAATTCTGCTGCTCGCGGGTGACTACACTACTGTGGCTATTTCGGGTTCAAACCTTGCAGCAGTTCAAAAGTTCAATTCATCACCTGTGTTCGATATTGCAAATAGTATAAATAAATATAAATGAAATGAATCTACTTCTGCAGACATCTATTTATTTATGTAATGTTTGTTGATCCAAGTTTGTAAGTAGAGACAGATACGCATATAGATATAGACAGATAGATAGGTAAGAAACATACTGAAATAGACAGATAGATGAATTGTTAGAGTATGTAAGTAATTAAAGAAAGAAAGAAAGAAAGAAAGAAAGAAAGAAAAAGAAAGAAAAAAGAAAGAAAGAATAAAGAAAGAAAGAAAGAAAGAATAAAGATATAGGTATATGAATAAATATGAACAGACTGTGATAGATAGATAGATAGATAGATAGATAGATAGATAGATAGATAGATATGAACAACCTGAGATAGATAGATAGATAGATAGATAGATAGATAGATAGATAGATAGATATGAACAACCTGAGATAGATAGATAGATAGATAGATAGATAGATAGATAGATAGATAGATAGATAGAAATAAAGCAAAATAAAGAAAAGGAAATAAAAGACAGAATGTAAGACTTATATAGATAAACATGAACAAACTGCGGTAGATAGATTATGGCAAAAGGGCAAAATTACAAGAGCAACCAACAAAACGATTTCTTCTATTCGGCTCAGTCTTAAAAAGCTAATGTTGATCGAAATCACGTCAATTGTATCGATCTGTTAAACAAGATTGTTAACGATATCTCACCTCTAATTCTTACTAAAATTACTAAAATTTAGACCAAATTCCCATGGAACCTTTTCAACGTATTATCGATTTGTCCTTGTTCAAGGTCTTTAAACGATCTCAAATATTTGCCTCAAAATATGACGCGTCAGCCCTTAAGTTTTATTTGAAATATCCTAAATTAAAACCAGGCAGCGGAATCGGTTAAGATCATCAAAACGGCTGCATACGTTTTCGGTACATATAGAGGGTGCGCCAGAAATACCTCCCATAATATCGTTAAGATATTAGTGACAATGGTGTCTTCATCTAGCTAAATGGCGTACCATTAATGGGGAGGAGTATATGTGGGAGATATTTCTGCCTCACCCTTTATTTATTTATGATTTGCGGCAAAAATAATCTAAGAACGAGTGCGGTCACAAAGGGAGGTAAGTAGGTAATAACAAACATGGAAACACGGAATAAATAAACGACGTCATGTAATTGTGCATGCAGAGATGGTTATCATATTAATCGAAGGGACTGTCGATATACAATATATTATTATTATTATTATTATTATTATTATTATTATTATAAAAGATAATAATACTCTTCATCTTATATTCTCGCGTATAGTTAATATGCTAATAAGACTAAGTGGAAAGGCGTTTTCGGATATATATTTATATTTGCGTACGAATTAGTTAACACGTTTACTCAGGAATATAGCATATCTTAAAACTATATATATATATATATATATATATATATATATATATATATATATATATATATATATATATGAATGATAAAAATAGACTTTTAAGGTATGCAATGTCTATGAGTTAAAGTGTTCGACATCAGGGATAGGGCCTATGCAGATATATAAGAGGATATGAAGGGATACAACCAGCGACGTCTGCTTCATATTTAAACGCAATCGTCCCATATATATATATATATATACATAGATAGATAGATAGATAGATAGATAGATAGATAGATAGATACAAAATCGGTCCGGTTTTGGTCCCGGCCTGAAACGATCGGATGTCTAGCCACACAGATGAGCTGTGATACAGCGAAACAATCTGTCTGTGATTACTATATATATATATATATATATATATATATATATATATATGGCTAAAGTACCAACGAAATTTCTTTTATTTATATTGGATGTTTCTGCTATATATATTTTTAATTTTCAGCTTACATAAGAAACATCAAAAACTAAATAAGACATTAACTCACAAAGAACTTTCGCTGGTACTTAAATTTGTATAAATGAAGATTCGCTTCCAAAATATATGCAATATATATATATATATATATATGTGTGTGTGTGTGTGTGTGTGTGTGTGTGTATATGTGTGTGTGTGTGTTTGTGTGTGTGTGTGTGTGTGTGTGTGTTGAGCACTTCAATATAGTTCGATCAATTAAGATTGAGTAGTGAGTTTGTCCCACACTGATATATATATCAACGGAGAGGCCATATATATATATATATATATATATATATATATATATATATATATATATATATATATAAATATAAGAAGAAGAACTTGTTAAACCGAATGGGTAATTCCAAGGAGGATGAAATCCTGAGAGCTCAATGTGAATCCAGAGCTAATATTTAGTGAAAAAACAGACCACTTTAAGGTACCATTACAATAATTTATTTCACCAAAATCCTTTTTGAAGGACTCCGAATCATCAGGTAACACTTCCAGCAACGAAGTTACAAATTATTGTAATGGTACCTTAAAGTGGTCTGTTTTCATTAAATGTATATATATATATATATATATATATATATATATATATATATATATATATATATATATATATATATATATATAATGGTTCTCCGTCGACGTATGACAATCCAGTTTTTTTTACGTTTGTGTCGGATGTGATACTTCAGTCGTTCTAATCATGTCCACATATTGTATAACTTGAGGATCTTGGGACATGACCACAGGAATATTTGCTGGCACTTTTCGCCGTTGTCTTTCGTCAGTTAGCCAGTCAATACGAATGATTTCGAAATTTCTGATGCCATTCGAATTTAGTATGACGCAAATTGGCAGCTGAGAGGTTACTCTTCAGTTTGTCTTTATACTCGAGGCACGGCCGTCCAACGGTCCTTTGACCTCTGTCAAGGTGGCTATACATGAGGGACTTTAGGTATTCTGTGTTCTGTCATCCTTGCTACATGAGCAGCGCAGCGGAAAAAAAACTGTATTGGCTACATTTTGAATTTTACCGCTCTGCTGCTATCCTTGCTAGCTAATCTCTGCTCCAGACAACTGCTCAGCAAAATATGCATGTCTCAAACAGCAACAAAGCCATCCCGTCGTGTTTCTGTAGATATGCTTAGCGGAACTTTCCCGAATAAAGCGCACTATCTATCGTATCATATATATATATATATATATATATATATATATATATATATATATATATATATATATATATATATATATATGTATGAATCGTGATTTTCGTTTAACCGAGGTACTCCGGGAACAAATTTTACTTTCTCTAAAGGACCTCTCTATTGACATGGATTGTCATTAAATGGACAATACCATTTAAAGTCTTCTCTGATTTCCTTTTCAAATAATTGGTCCTCCTAATCAACAGTTAATTTAACCGGAATCTACTACCTGCATATATTTATATATATTTATTTCTCCCTTCTCTCTCTCTCTCTCTCTCTCTCTCTCTCTCTATATATATATATATATATATATATATATATATATATATATATATATATATATATATATATAGATAGATAGATAGATAGATAGAGAGAGAAATAGAAAGAAATAGAAAGAGAGAGGAGGTGGAGAAAGAGAGAGTAAATAAGAGAAAGAAAGAGAGAGGAATAAATAGATATAGGTATATGCACCTCCAGAGATAGAGAGAGAGATAGAGAAAGAGAGAGAAATGAGCGCATTTGCCGAAAAAAAAAAATTGTCAAGGGTCAGAGGCAACAAATATGCCTCGATATCAGTTATTCCCTTGGGGGCGATAAAAGAACGTTCTTGTGCAATGTATATGTGTTAGTGGAAAGGAAATGTGTTGAGTGCTAATTGACCCATAGTTACATAAATACGCCGGAAAATTATGTCCATATTTGTAAACATTTATGAACGTTTCTCGTCTGTTTGTGCCTCTGACTTTCGTTTCTTGTTTTCTCTCTCTCTTACTCTCTCACTCACTCTCTCTCTCTCTTACTCTCTCACTCACTCTCTCTCTCTCTCTTACTCTCTATCTCCCACTCTTTTTCTCCACTGTTTTCTTCCCTCCTCTCCTTCTTCTATTTCAGTCTCTCAATTTCTCTCTTACCTCTTCTTCATCTCTCATTTACTTGTTTCTTTTTCTCTCTCTCTCTCTTTCTTTTTCTTCATCCTACTACCTCTCTTCTCTTTCGCTTGCCTTTCTCTTTTCCTTATTTTCGCCTAACTCTTTCTCTCTCTTCTTTTTCTCTTTCTACTTGCTTATCGACTCAGATATTCTCTCTCGCTCCCTCTCTCTCTCTCTCTTACTTCTCCCGATTATTTCATTCTCATCTTCAGCCTCTCACTTTCTCTCTTACTTTTGACTTTATCTCTCTTTTTTTTCTCTATTCTTTCTCTGGTACAAACCTAAGAGTTAATATCAAAATTCGAACAACACCATCTCATAAATATTATTCCGAATTACATGACCCATATCCGTATTGATTTGCCGGAAAATTACATTTGTGTTTGTCCTTAACTTCAAATCTGACCTTAACTTCAAATCAACTAGACTATTATTATTTACGACAGTAGCTATGAAGTAATTTATGTGCAACATTCAACAAATCGTTAGTAGTAGCTTATATTCTAAACGAGACTTCTTCAAACGAGATCTCGTCTCAAGCTTAACTTCGTCCCACAAATGCCTGCTGCGCCTCTTGCTATTATCACGACCTCTTTCTATTCTGCGAGTCGCACGAGTTTTTCGTCATTTTTATATTCTGATATTTATTTTTTATATTTGTTTTTCCTATTTTCTTTCTTTATTCTTTATTCTTGTTATCCTGTTTTCTTTATTTATTTGTTTTCTTTATTTATTTTTCTTCTACCTTTTTTTCTTGACTATTTTCTTTATATTTTTTTATGTTCTTTTATCATACTTTTTCTTTTTTCTTTCCATAGTTTTTCTTATTTTCCTTCTCGTCTTTTTCTTTCTTTTCCTTTCGTTTTTTTCTTCATTTCTATTTTCCTTCTTTGTATATTTCTTTTTCTTTTCATTGCCTCGTTTTTTTTTTCTTTTACTTTTCTTCCTTCAGATTTTCTGTATTTTTAATTTTCTTCGTTTTTTTTTCTTTCTTTATCTATTTCGGGATACATATATTTTCCTTTATCTGTTATAACGCTTCTTATTCTATTTTTCCCGCCATTTCTCATTCTAATTTTTGTACTTTATTTATTCAGCTTTTATCTATTTCTTGGTCTTTTCTTTCTTTCGTCATCTTTTTTCTTTTTCGACTTATTTTTATTTTCCTTTTTTTTTTTTTTGTTATACCTTTCTTCTTTTGTTGTTTTTTTTTCTTTTTGTCTTATTATTTTTGTTTATTCTACGTCCTTTCCTTTTTCCTTTTCTATTTTTTTTTTTTTTCACGTTTTTCTTTTTTTTTTTTTTGGTTTTTTTCTTGTGATTTTTCCTTTGATACTTTTCTCATTTTTACTATGTTCATTATTTTCAAATTGTTGCTTTTTCTCTAAAAGACGGACATTGCCATCAACGGCACGCACCTCGAGGTGGTGGACTCCTTCACCTACTTCGGGTCGATTATCTTCACCTACCTCTCCCTGGACACCGAGATCAGCTCCAGGATAGGAAAAACCGTCGCATTCATGGCCAAGCTAAACAAGTGCGTCTGGAACAATAACCAGCTGACGGAGAACACCAAACTACAAGTCTACCGGGCCTGCCTTCTCAGCACCCTTCCGTACAGCAGTGAGTCCTGGACAACTTACGACAGTCAGGAGAAAAGGTTAAACACCTTTCACCTCCGCTGCCTCAGACATCACCTCCAAATTAAGTGGCAAGACTGGGTCACTAACACAGAGGTCCTCCAACGTGCCGGCATCCCCAGCCTGTTCACGCTGCTCTGCCAAAGACGTCTCAGATGGCTGGGGCACGTACGCCGCATAGGTGCCGGAACCATTCCAAGAGTCATCCTATATGGGGAGCTGTGTGGGATCCCGCCCAACTAGAAGACCTCAGCTCCGCTTCAAGGATGTCTGCAAACGAGACATGAGGCTGGCCGAGATCGACCCCAACACCTGGGAGACCGCGGCTGACGACCGTCAGCTTTGGAGAACCACAGTCAGTGACGGCATCACGATTGCAGAAGCCGCGAGGTAAGATCAACTGGCAGCAAAGAAAAGCAAGGACAGCCTCCGTCTTCGTGTCATCCAGTTTCATCTGCGCCAAGTGTCTGAGAGAGTGCCGCTCCAGAGTGGGACTACACAGTCACCAGAGGCGATGTAACTCCATCGCCTAGAATTTAAAACAAATAAGCGCTATTCCATCGTCTCCCGAGATGGACGGATGCCGAACCAAATATTTTTAATACTTCATCACTTCCTTCTTTTTTTTCTTTTCCTTCTATCTTTCATTCATTTATTAGTCCGTTCCTTCTTCCTTTCGTTTTTTTTCCATTCTTTTTCAGTTCTTCCTCCCTTCTTTGATTTTTTACTCATTTTTACAAGTCTCTCTATTTCTTCCATTTTCTTTCTTTTTTCTTTCTTTATTTCTTTCCTTCTTTCATCTTTCCTTCCTGTTATGAAGTAACTTTCTTTCTGGAATAGAATGTTGCCAGGTCAACAGAAGGTAGCTCGACTGGCATTTGCTGTGGTGTACTGCTTTTATAGCAGTGCCTCATTTACATACAATACTACCCCTCCCTGAACCGAAACGGCCTTATGCCTTTCGTTGATCTTTGACTTCTAATTATTCTTGGGAATCTAAACTGGCATTCTTGGTGTGTATCTTGATTTCTTCTTATAGGGGACCTGGGTCTGAGTTCATTTTCCTCTTTCAAATCCTCGTCCGATTTCTGGTCATTAACAGCCATAGATTGTTGCGTTTCTTTACTAGATTCATTAGTCCCCTCCTTCTCTTCATGTTCTTCACCTTAATCTTCGTCCATTTCTATATCCTCGGGGTCCGTTCAGCATCTGAATTGATCCACATGGGCCAGTATATTTTGTTCATTTTTTGTTTTGTATTTCTGTCTTGTGTCCTCTCTGTACTGCAAAGTTCACCTTCCCTGGATTAGATTCTTTCTCTTTTTTATGCTATATACTTTCATTTATTGAAAATGACATTGTTATGGGGGATCTAATCTGTCTACCCATTTTTGCGGAGGGACCTTGTAGTCTGCCGGCATGTAGAATTGTCCTACAGTATAACAGTAATCTTGGTAAGTAACTCTCTATATTATCATTAGACGGGAAAAATGCTTTTAGTCAAATTTTCACATTCTGCCCCATTCTTTCTGTGATCCCATTCGATTGTGCGTGGTAAAGTGGTGTTTTATATGGAATACGCTTTAGCTACAAGCACAAACTTTCCGCGAAAAATTACGGCGCGTTATCTGAGACCAAAGTTCCAGGCACCCCGTTCTTTGAAAATATTCTTCATACAGTGATAGCTTTTCTATCACTAAACTTAATTACTTCAGTTCATCCTGAAAACGAACCCACCAAAATTAAAATTAGCTCCATTCCTTTAATATGAACATGATCCATGCATACCTGAGCCCATGGTTCTTTTTCTTTAGGCCATAAGTGAATTTATTTTTACCGAAAGTTTTTTTTTTTAGCATACTTTGAACACCTTTTTACATAGTCTTCTACATCTCGAGAGTATCCTCGCCACCACGTTTGTAATTTTAATTTTATTTGTGTCGCTGTTATACTACAATGTACATCATCGTGTACGCCTTTCAGTATTTCTTTTCTTAAACTTTATGGTGGCATTATAATATCTCCATTGCATATTATTCCTTTCTCTACAGTCTCTATGTCTTGATTCTTTGTGGGGTCTTTCTACCATTGAACAATTGCTCTTTTTATTCTGGTTGAAATGCGACTTAACACTGGATCTTGAATGGTTCACATTCTGAGACGATTTATGGGTAACACGTTCGTCTCAAACCAGTGCATTATTTTATCTTCTGGATTTTCAGACGTTTCCAATTTTTAACTGTCGAAATTTAGTCTGGATAACACATCCACATATAGAATAGTGTTCCCCTTTAAATATATGATGTCGAAAGCAAAGGCCATGAGTTTTATCGCCCATCTTAAAATTCTAAAAAAATATGACTTTTAGTAATTCTTTTTGAGGTCAAATATAAACTCTAAAGGTCTGTGATCCGACTTTAACAAAACTTTTCATCCGAACAAAAATGTCAAGAATTTTCTGTGGTCAATATTATTTCTAACGCTTCTTTCTCAATATTTGAGCTAGCTTCAGTTGATGTTAACTTTCTCAACAGGTACATTATTGGATGACCTTCTTGTGATAGAATTACGGCTACAGCATGTTCACTTGCATCTGTAATCAATGTCACTTGTTTTTTTGGATCAAAGATTTTTGCAATCGGTTTTCTTATTATTATTCTCTTTTTTAAGCTTTCAAAAGCAATATTTTGCCTTTGAATCCATTTAAAATCTGTTTTCTTTTTCCGTATTTCTGCAAATGGTTCGATTATGTCGCTGTATCTCGTTAGATATTTGATATAAAAATTGGTGAATCCGAAAAACTATTGTAATTCTTATTTAATTAATCAGTTTATTGTCCACTGAAATTCCTTCTTTGGATGTTTGATATTCAAAATTCAATATTTTTGTCGTAATTTAACTTACATTTAAGGCTATTTATCGTCATACCAGCATTTTTTAATTTGTTCAAAACTTTACTACAAACACCTATGTCCATATGTTCTTGATATATGATTATATTTTTTACCCCCTCCGATAGAACTTTTTCAGTTGCCTTTCAACTGCCTTTTGAAGTCTTAACTCCAAATTGGAGATGATTCCATCTTAGTAATCAATAGGTGTATTAATTGTAGTTAATTCTTTTCGTCAGTTTTTATTTAGTGATATGCCGATTTCAGGTCATTCTTCGCAAAGTATTTCATTCCTGCTAATTTATAAATCGCCGTTTGTATGTTAGGTAAAGAGAATGAATCAAAATTTATCTGATGATTCACACCTACTTTATACTCTCCGCATATCATCAAACCGCTATTGGGATTTCGTATCGCAACAATTGGTGAAGCTCAACTGCTACCACCATTGTTAACATTGTTAATATGCCTTGTTCCACCATTTTCTTTAGTTTTGCAAATACTATGAGTTGAATGTGAATAGGTATTTTTCGAGATTCAAAATAGATCGGAAGAATTTTCTTTTGAACGAATAGTCGCCTTATATCTTTTCAACAGTCCAATGTCAGGTTCTTCTGATTTTATACACTTTATTAATTTCGCCGTATCCACTTTTAAAACGTCTATAACCCAGGAGTCCATGATTTTTTGTGCATTCTACAACAGTGATGGAAATAATCTTACAACGGTTTTTGTTTTTTTTGTCTCGAAAGTTCCATCAAAGGAGCCTAGAGTTTTGACGACAGATCCATCAAACTGTTTTAAATTAAGATTACTTTTTTCTTAAACTTGTTTTACCCATTTTTTCTCAGAAATTTCTGGAGATCAAGGTAACATCGCTCCCCGTGTCAATCTGCATGGGAAAAAATTATGCCATTCAATTTTACTGTCTGTCTTCATTTTGCAGATGTCCTTATCGAATATGCTTCTATATTTTCAGCATGAGAGTTTATATTTTCTACACTTTCTATTCTCTTGTTGTATCTGCACACAGATCGGAAACGGCCTTCTCTTTTACAGTTTAAACATAATTTTTCTATTGTTGGACTTTTTTTTTTGTTTCTTTTGTGTTCTTTGTCGAAATACTTGTAAGTAATTATGTTGTATGCTTCCACATTGTTTTGTATGCTTCCATACTGTTTTTTTAGAATTATTAAATTCATTAATTAATTCTAATTGCTGCAAGAATTCTGCACTTACTTTTAAATTCATATCATTCCCTTGTAGCCCTTCTGGGTTCTTATGTTTGTATGTAACATCATACATGCCTTCCCTTAATCTTAGGGGGATCAATTCGTCTTCTATAGAGATTTCTTTTGAACCCAGTTTTTCAAATTCGCAATATCTTGATGTTTCTTTCATGACGTATAAATATTACATTGCGGTTTCGTATGGGTTCTATTTTCAATAAATTTTGTTCTCTGTGCAATAACCAGACTTTTGTTTTTATTTTTATTTATTTATTTATTTATTTATTTTTGTCGCTTGTTTCTATTTTTGATGGTTGAAATTTCTTCATATGTTAAGTCTTCCAGTTGGGGTACACCATAATGGATATTTTCTTTATGGCTTCACATCCTACCGTAGCCAAAAATAAATCAGTAATTTCTCCCGTCCAAAGGCTTTCTTGTCTTTCAGTTTCTTTACCCTAGCCAACCCTGTTAAACATCTAATCCAAGTTTCTACGTGCTCCGGTTCATCAAACGCGGTTAGTAATCCTATCGGAGACGCCATATTGTTATGAAGTAGAGTACTCTCTGGAATAGATGTTGTCAAGTCAACAGATGGTTGCATGACCAGCATTCGCTCTGGCATCTACTTTTATAGCAGTATCTCATTTACATACAATACTACACTTTTTTCCTTCAATCTTTCATTTATTTATTCGTCAATCCTTTCCTTCATTTTTTTCTTTCTTTCTTTCCATTCTTTTTCAGGCTTTCTCCCTTTTATTCATATTTTACTAATTTTCACAAGTTTCTATACTATTTCTTTCTTTCTTTCTTTCTTTTTTTTCTTGTTTTTTTTCCTTCAATTTTTCTTTCTATGTTACATTCATTTATTCGTCGGTCCTTTCTTTCTTATCGAATCTTTTTCAGTTTTTCCCCTTTTCATACAATTTTTACCTATTTTCACAAGTTTTTCTACTATTTCTTTCTTTCTTCCTTTCTTTCTTCTTTTCTTTCTTTCTTTCCTTGCTTTTTTCCTTCAATCTCTCCTTCTATGTTACATTCATTTATTCGTCTATTCTTTCTTTCTTTTCGAATCTTTTTTTCAATTCTTCCCCCTTTCATACAATTTTTACCTATTTTCACAAGTTTCTCTACGATTTCTTCTTTCTTTCTTTCTTTCTTTCTTTCTTTCGTTTTGATCCGTTTTTTTTCTTTTCATCTGTCTCGTTATTCTTTTCGTCTACACTTTTCTTTCTTATTAAGTCATACTCTCCAACTTCTTTCACCCACTCTCTCTCTCTCACTCTCTCTCTCTCTCTCTCTCTCTCTATTCTATCTTTCTTGCCTCCCCTCTCTCAGACATACACATGATTTGTTTCTTTTTCTTTCTTTCTTTTCTTTCAAAAAGCGATTTAGTTTCTCCTTTTGCCATTCTTAATTTTCCAGGTTTTATTGCATTCGTTTGCCAAGAAATCCTTGTCTATAAACTCTGGGAAAGTGAAAAAGAAATGTTTCCCTAAATCGGGTCCTTATTCCAACCAGCTCCACCCTCCACCTCACTCGAGACGCAAAATAAAAACAGAAGATTAATTACAGATTGAATAAAACGACTTCGGGTTCCTAATCTTGTGGCATCAAGTGAGACACCCATCGCTTTTTGAACAATAAACTTTCAACGGACACAAGGGAAAAGCGCTTCTTATCGCCCCCTTCTATCCCTCACTAAAACTCTAGTTATCACTCTTTTCCTCCCTGCTCATCTCTCTCTCTCTTTCTATTTAACACACACACAATATATATATATATATATATATATATATATATATATATATATATATATATATATATATATATATATATATATATGGGGCTACACTGTATTCTTATATTTTATACTATATATAGCTTGTATAAATACATATTTAACTATGAATATTTTCTGTCTGCAAATATACCAGACGCTACCCAAACACTTTGTCATGAATAAATATCTCTCTATCTATCTATCTATCTATCTATCTATATATTAACAAATGATTGGCAACACAGAATTTTATGACCGTCATGAAAAGACAAAATTTATATTTATTACCATTCATGTTGGTAAAAAGTAAAACTGAAAAACGAGTTAGGTAACCGGTTTCGAACCTCGACCAACGGAGCTAAATCGATGTTAATAAATATAAAATTATCACTAAAAAAGAGAGGAACAATATGTATGGGGTGGGGTGCTTAAATGGAAATTCGTTGGAGGCCCAGTACAAAATCCTTCTTAAAGAAGAAATGGATTGTTTTTTATTAATCCGACATATTTTATCATTTGAAATATTATCTTTAGTGGACACTCATATTTGAGTAGACGCTTCGTTCATTTCCTTTAGCAAGATTTATCGAATATTCAAGCCGGTAGACGAAAATGACTAATTAAATAAACGGAGAAATGAATAATGAAATTATTCTCAAATATAGATATACACTAGAAATAAAGTTTAAAGTGATTATATATATATATATATATATATATATATATATATATATATATATATATATATATAATATATATATATATATATATACACACACACATATATATATATATATATATAGAGAGAGAGGGGGAGAGAGAAAAAGAGGGGAGATGTGATATATGGGTATCCACTAAAAATAACGTCTAAAGTGATTATATATATATAATGATATATAATAATATATATATATATATGTATATATACATATGATATATAATATATATATATATATATATATATATAGAGAGAGAGAGAGAGAGAGAGATAGAGAGAGAGATAGAGAGAGAAAGAAAAGCAGAGAGAAAATCTAAGACAAGAACCATTATATATATCACATCTCTCTCCATCAAAAAGGCAATGGTAATAAGACAGATTAAAACTAGTAAGGAAATAATAATTGTGTAAAGGCCTCATCAAAAATGCATTAAAATTAGGAATAAAATAATAATTTTGAAAAGCCCTCATCAAAAAGACAATAGTATTAAGACATAACAGACCAGCAATCAAATAATAATTGTATAAAGGTTCCATCAAAAAGGAAATACTAATACGACAGATTAAAATAGGCATAAAATAATAATTTTAAAAAATCCCCATTAAAAAGTCAATAGTAATAACACATAATAAAACTAGTAATCAAATAATACTTAGGAAAAGACCCTAAACAATTATCTAGAGATTCCTTTTGCAATTTTGTCTCTGAACTGGCGTGGCTGATTCGGAATGACAGTGGCCTGTTTTTCCGTTGCGTTTTCCATTGTTTGGAATTCAATTATATCATTTTCCTAGACAGATTAGTGTGCTTACTCTGTCCTCCTATTTAACCCATAGCCAGGGAGGAAGAGATCGATTCATGTCGTTTTTCCAAGTGTATTAATGCGAAAAGGAACACAGTAGACTAGACAAGGACTAGGATTAGAACTCGACTCTCCGATTCCACTTTCCGCGCCGACAACCCTTAGGGCACCGACATATCAGTAAGCTAATCTCTATCTATAAAAGGTAGAATGTGTGTGTGTGTGTGTGTGTGTGTGTGTGTGTGTGTGTGTGTGTGACGAATGCACAGCCGCAATTTTCGAGGGATTTGCACTAAAATTTACATGCACACGCTCCAAGTTAGCGGGAAGGTCAAGACCGACTTTGCATTTCCCAACTCACATCGATAGTGAAAATAATCGATTTTTTTCATGCTTCTACGACAGTTTTAATGTATTTTGCGGCCATTTTCTACTGGCCAGAGTGAGAGCCTATAGTGGCTGTCATGAATAGGCATTAAAATTCTATTTGCCAGCGTGAGAGCCAACAGCTGACTGACACGAAATGCAAATAAAATCGATAGCTGCAATCGTCGCATGTGGCAAAAATTTAAATCTGCATGGCACTTTACTCTAATCGGCTCATTCGTTTGCTTAAACTCAACGTTTATTCTGATTCCGCAGAACAGGGTTGGGTGTGAAAAAGTATTTGTTGTTAACATTCTTTTTCATTCGGTTTTTCCAGTTACGAGTCCTTTTTTAAAGTTGATCGTTTTGTGTTCATTTTGCTTAGTTCTTTTTCGTAACAGATTTAATGTTTAATATTGAGCTTAGAAAAAATTTGCAGTGTGAGATAGGCAAGAAGTAAGGGATGTAGCAACATCAGCACGGCAAAGGCCCTCCTTTAAAGGTAAGGAAGGGCAAAAATATTTTAAGTCAAGTGATAGCGATTGCTGTATGAGTCTTACGATTTTTGAATCAAGCATGGGCAACGCCGGGCCATGCTGCTAGTCATATAATAAAAAACATAAAACATTATTAATGTCAAACATGAGATAAAACTATGTTAGTGAAAAGGGTTCCTTGATTAAGCAACCATAATTAGATGGTGTATTTACAGTAATAATGTAATAATAGACAAATATTTTACCCAACAGTAAAATGGAGTAAAATTAGTAATAATATAATGGAGTAAAAAATGGGTAAAATTAGTAATAAAATAATAATAGTGAAATGCTTTATCGAAAAAAATAGCAATAATAAAATAGTGTCAAACTAGCAATGAGATAATAATTTTGGAAAGGCTTCATCTACAAGTCAACCAAAATAAGCTTGAATAAAGCTATTGATAAAATAATATTGAAAATATTTTAGATATATGTAGCAATACTGATATCGCACAAAAATTATAAAATAATAATAGTTAAAATGCTTCGTCTAAAATGATGGATCGAATCTAGGAATAAAGTTAATAGCATTAGAAATGCCTGTATCAAACCGGAATGTCAAGATGAAAAGCAACAATAAAAATGAAGTAAAACGACTACCAATAACAATGAAAATACTTCAACAAAATAATTTGAAAACAGATTCAGAAATGTCTTACGCGAAATCTTTCGAGCAGACATGAATACCCACACATGTATTCTTATGATATTTGCTACGTATAACAAACCCGAGAGAAGTGAAATTAATTATGTACAGACAAGTTTACGCATTTCTCCCAGGGGCCGCAGATTTTACTAGTAGGCAAGGATGTTGACTGTATAAATGATGGGACGTGAAAAATTTGCACAATCTCCCAAAGGACCAATAAACGATTATATTTCCACTATGGAAGACAGACGTGAAAAAAGAGCATGCAAGGGAGACAACTGCATAATCTCTTTTCCAGGTGAGACACGCAATCTGGTGTGTGCATGCGGACAAAATAAACACATGTGTGTTTTCACTCGCACACAAGATTTTCCTTCGTTTTATGCTGTCCTCTGTTAGGATTATGCAAGTTCTTTTATTACAAACACACTGTAAAATATGTAAATATCATGAACAGAGAGAGAGAGAGAGAAAGAAAGAGAGAGAGAGAGAGAACTGCCGCCTTTCTTTGGGAATACATAGGTATATAAGAGCATGAATCAGTAAGTCTGTAACTCGGCATGAATTTATGAGTTGGTCTGAAGTTTTCACTATATTATGCTCCATCTTTGTGAGTAATTAATATTCATGACTGAATTAAGTAGTATTGACCAATTGGATGAATATATGTTGGAAAGGAAGAGTTGCTGTGTAAAATAAATGATTTTCCATTGTTAGACGGAATTTATATATTATATATATATATATATATATATATATATATATATATATATATATATATATATATATATAATAATAAGGGATCCTTAACCAGCATGTGTAGATCTGTCACCAGGAGACAAAAGTTCTTTGTTGGAACTGGATTAAGAAATTTTTTTTTGTGTTGTTTTAAACAAATATTTACTTTTTTTTTTTTTCCTTGGATTAACTTAAGGTTTTTTTTTTTTTTTTTTGGTTTTTTATTTAAGATGCTGAAGTAAGTATAATGTTTATTTATTTTATTTGATCTTTGCATATTTTATATTTAAGCAAACTTTTTCGGTGCGAAACTCACAAGTGTCATTAAGAATTTTATCACATAAAGTTAATTTGAATTTAATATTTATCTCTATGCTATTGTTCCTCAACAAAGACCATATTAAGTATAAACTAAATATTTTATGAATAGTTCATGTCTTTCTTTAATAGAAAAAGCAGCCATTTTTTTTTTAAATATGTTGAATTTTTAAGTCCTACGTAAATAAAATACACTAAAAATACAACGTTTTTCATTGCGAAATTAATGGAAAAATGACGCTTATTACAGAATTTATCACACAAAGTTAACGACAAAAACTAAATTCAATAAATTTATTTTACATCGATTAAAATTAAAGATATAGTAGGAAAATGAAAAAGAAAATACATTTACTGCTATACATAAATATCGTCTTTATCTTTTTTTAATTTTTTACTATTTTAAACAGCGAAATTCACAAAATCTGTCATTAAGAATATTGTCCTGGAAAATTAATTTAATTATTTTCTTTATGCTGT